GAAAAATATTTTCATCCATTCTTCCACTATATTCATCTTAACTTCTGCCAAGTTTACCTTTGATTTTTTTAATTAACTGCCTATAGCGCCTTTGGTGCTTTGATTATGGTATAATAGTACTGTAATCATGGTATCTTGGAGTCTTACGGATTTTTGATAAGGTCTTTATCAGAAAGAAAGGTTTCAATGTAGGTACCGGCATACCTACCCTAACAAAATAAACTGCAGCAAAGGGGCAAAAAAAATCTCTTGTACGTGGAAGTTTTATTTGTTAACCAATTTGAGTAATTTATTCCTGATCGATCAGGTAAGTTATTGGAGTGTTAAAATCTGTATGAAGGATTTCATCGATCATCGACACATATGATTGCTTTAATAATCAGAAAAATCTGAAGTGGGGGACCATTTTCGGGAAATACTTGTTACAATATCCATGTTTTAAATATTTTTTGCAAAAAATCCATTTTTGTCATATCCTCTCAAAATGCGGACGAAGCTTTTCACTCGGTCATCAAAAACAAAGTTCACACTTTACTACAAGTTCAAGACAGTTCCTATAGCACTGGTATTAAAGTAATTTTGTGCTAGAAGTTGATCATACTACATCTGAGGAAACACCCGACTTTCATGGACAAAGAAAATGTAACAAAATAATGTTGCCATAACATGTGGACAATGTCATTGTAAAATACAGTATAAAAACAACATTTAAACAATCACGGGACACAACAAGGTGTTTTTAAGGTAACGTGGCGTATCAATGTATAGATAAGACAAATAATTCCGATGGATTGATTAACAAAGACCGACGAAGTGAGTTGATTGAATGTTGCTTGCTTAACGTACAGTAACAATTATTTTATGCATATTCATGACGAGTAAAACAAGACACTGGCTACGATTACCCGCAAAAAATGCAAAGTATCAAGTTGCTACACACAAAGAAAGACGTAATTTTATGTAAAATGTTGCAGGTAACTATAAAAAAACACACATATTGATACCTGCAATTTCCGTATAAAATATGGTCCCTGTGCGGAAATACATTTCGGCAATTAGTCTCCGAAGTACTGGTAGTTATTTCTTATCGTTACTTTTTGCGGATAATTGTAGCCAGTGCCTTAAAAAACAAGGTAGTTTCTACGAGGTGTAAAAGGGAGGGAAATTTGGACTGCCACTGGAAAACAATGGAACGATAGATACAATCGGAAATCTTACCTTTCGAATTGGAAAGGGCACCAACGGATCCTTCAAACAGTTGTTGCAAGGGTTCTTTAACGTACAGAGAACGTAGCTCCCCCTACGCGAGGCATTGGATTTAAAGTAATATAAAAATAATAAGAAGTGGTAAGATTTCCAATTTGAAAACTCTCCTCCAGAGACCAAATGCCATGCATGTAGAAGTTAACAACTATAGGTAACCGTGTGGCCTTAAACAATGATTTGATTTCGATTTTTAGTGTTTTAACGCCACTTTTAAGCACCGCTTTTGGGCTATTTCGTGGCGGCCAGTTTTTATTGGTGGAGGAAGCCGGAGTGCCCGGAGAAAACCACCGACCTTCGATAGGAAAACTGACAATCCTAGTCTATTAAGATTGGAGTCGAGTGCACCCGCACGAGCGGGGTTCGAACTCACAACCTCAGTGTTGACTGGCTAGTGATTACAGTAGTAACTACTTAGACCACTCGGCCACCGAGGCCCCCTTTAACAATGAGAAAAACCCACACCGCATAGAAAGATATAAATAAGGCCCCGAAATGACAAATGTAAAACGAGAAAACCAAAGGCCTGATATAGGTACAAAATGATAAACGAAAAAACGAAAATGATATACAGCAACAAACGATAACCAATGAATTACAGGCTTGGGACAGGCACATACAGAATGTGGCGGGATTAAACATGTTTGCTGGCGCAAAACCCTCGTCTCTAATCTGGGACAGTGGTGTACCACTGAACGACATTAGAACAAACCATAGACATCAGTTCAAAAGGATTTAACTCATCGATACAATGTCATAAAAATCCTTACATATACACAAAAGACACAAAGTACATATCTGAGAGTACTCGCAGTTACTGAAAGGATGCGTCTAAAAATAACATATCAATTATCAATCCGTTCCCATACAACATCCATTGGATTTATTGTAAAGACGCCATTAACAGTCAGAGAAAAACACGCCAAAATATAGGTATCGACAGATTGTAAAACCCCAAATGTACATATGTGTATAAAAAGAATATTTAGTTTGGTTTTGATTTACTGATAAAAAATCATAATTATATTGAAAATTAAACAATATTCAAAAATCTAATTTCAATGTTGGTTCATAAACAACATCAAATTTAAATGAAGTCGGACATTCTGTAAAATTTTAGGCTGTTAGGGAAAAATCATGTAACTGTTGCTCCAACTGTACAATAGAGAAAAATACATACAATTTTTAAACAGAACCATGCATGCAGCTCACTAGTTTTCTTTAACATCTTAAAATTGTACTAAGAGTGGCATTACTATACTGAGCTGCGCGTTAGTAGCTCTTTGGTCATGTTGTTCATTCTGGTCCCAAATGACAGCAGACAGTTAGAGCTACAGTTCAGCCTTTCTTTTCTATACTAATGTAAAAGATTTCAAAAACGAATATTCTAATAAATAACGTAATGTTTTACTTTCACGGACTTTTTTTTACTGTCCCATCTCTTCTAAAATAATGGTCTCAGTTTCGACTGTCGTTCCTTTTGGATGCTCAACCCAATCCCCTTTTTTATAATGCAAGACCCCTCTTCTGTCAATAGTGTAAACCAAATAATAGATACAATATATTTTCAGTAAAATTTCAATTTAATATTTGAAATATGTGTACACATACATGTTATGTAACTCAATTTTATTAAGAAAAAGCCAGCCTCACTGATATTTTGAATGAGTTATTAATCTTTACTTTATTGTTATTTGTTTTCAGTTTTCTCGAATTTATAACCAACAGTTCTTATAGAGAACATGCCAAATATGGAAAAATTTCTGTGTAGTAGGGAGACAAAACATTTTGTTACATTATTTTAACGTAATTTAGTGGATTCGCCAAATTGTCGTTGTGGTGCTATAGAAGCAAGCTCTCATTTTTTTAACGTGCCCTTATTATACTTATATACGCCACGAGAGCTTATAAATTTTCTTGTGGATTTTCCGCAGCGGATTGATGTAAATATTATGCTTTTTGGGTCGGATTTTAACTGGTGAAGAAAATAGTACTCTTTGTATTCATACAAAAATACATATCGAAAAGTAAAAGGTTTATACAATTATATGAAAGGTTCGTTTATATGTCTTCCTTGCATTTTAGTTTATTTCATTCACTTGATTTTTGTTCTCCCTTTTGTCTTTCAAACTGCAATATAATCAATTTAATTTTGTATCTACTATTCTTCATTTATTCGAATTGACAGAGCATGCTCCAAGTATTCATTATGTTGTACGTCATCATTTTTTTTGGAGACAGATTAAAATAAGCAATGTTCTTTGTTTCTGGATCCTATTATATAATGTATTATCTTATATATCATGATTTGATTTATTGAATAAAACATTGTTAAAACCAACATTTTGTATCTAGTTTTCCCATTGTATTATTTTCAAATGTGTTGGTTAAGAGATGAAGCTAGACTAGAAAGGTTCGGTTTGAATTTTATTTGTTTTGTAAATATATGACCAAAGACCGCGTGTATAAAAAATCAAATAAAAGCCCTTTACGAGGGCAAACGGCATCATAATTATATAGTACATAAAGTACTCATACATTTTTTCTTTACATTCGAGTAATAGGCAACAACATGATAATGTAAGTTATATCATCTACTGTGTAGACTGATATACTAGTATTCATAAGAATTTGCATAGTTCTCCGAGAATTTGATATGTACAGAGCCCTGTTGGTCCCATAAAGATAAAGAGTTCCGATTGGTAAAATCAGCGCAGAAGATGTAATGTCTAGCGCTGACGATTTAAAGTCCTGCACTAAAGATTTAAACTGCAGCGCTTAAGACTTAAACTCCAGCGACTAATTTCACAAAAAATCTTACGAGAAAAAACACTCATAAGTTATGAACACTTCAGCATACATTACGATCAACTTTTGTAGTAAGATTTTTTGTGAAAAGAGCCCTAACCCTTAATATGTAAAAGCTAGCGTTGGAGATGTAGATTCATCGCTGAAGATTTTAAGACCAGCGCTTAAGATGTAAAGTTCATTAAATGTGCAACATGTATTTGTTTTGACCATGAGTGTTTTCAAACTTAATCTTTAACCTGACATTTTAAACCTGTTAACGAAATTATTCGACCTTATTGTACTTCTACAAATAATGAATGAAAATCTTTAGATCAAAAATAGAGGAAGATATATTTTGAGCTTGTAAAGTAAACTCCTATATCTTCCTCTATTTTTGAGGCAAACTAACACACCCAAAGTTGAGGATATAGTGTACAATTAAGAATAGAATTTTGGGAGAGCATACATATATATACACCAAGTGATAATCATTGAATTTCGCCTGTTTTTAAAGGAAATCACAGTTCTGAAACTGCATGTATCATATGCAACTGCAAATATTATACACAACTTGTAATTAAAAATGTATTGAATGACAATAATAAAAGACATTTTACATCTAAATCCCGAGGAACAGACAGACAGAGATAATAATTGAGCGATAATAGAAAGTGCAGGGATAAAAAAAAAACATTATAACCAAAAAAAGTATGAATACAATTATTAAGCAAAGACAAAAAAAAAAAAAGCGATAAAAGAATATCGGAAAGAATTTTTCGAAAACTTCAAAGAATCAATGCAAAAATATAAATTAGGTACGCACAATGATCGCTGTATGTCCATTTTAACTGTAGTATTACCTGCGTTTCTTTCTTAATCATTAACCATTTCATTAGTTTTATATAGTTCATTGTTTACTCTTATATGATCTTATATGCATTGTATTGTTTAAATTGAATCTATTATACAAAAGTAAAAGTCTGTATGGTAAGTTGTAATAGTTTTTAAAAGGTTGGGTATTTTTTAATGTTCAAAATATCATAATTCATGTTATCAGAACTAGTAATATCAGAACAAAGAGCTCTATTCGGGATGGTTCTTTCCAATTCTGCTTGAAATAATATCGTAGATCCGTAATTTGAAAATTTTCTTAAATTTTATCAATATATTTGAAAAGAGGATATCTAGGTATCATTATTAATTGTTTTGAAATACTTAATCATGAACTCTGTTGTAAACATAATAATTTGTATTCCCAAATAACGCCCTGAATACAAAAACAGTATCAGGAGAAGAATTATGCTCTTTGAAATGTTCTTATACTATTTTCTTATCTTCACAAATGTTTGGTTTTTGTTGTTTATGTGGAGGGGGAGGGGGTCTTTCTTGCATTCTTTTGTTTGTATTCAGTTTCAAGGTTTGTCTCCTTGAATTTCAAAATGTTGAATATGAAACTATGTTATTCAGGGATATTATTTATATTGTATCTTGTATAAAAGACAAAGAACTTTTTACTCACGTCAGGTCAGAATGGGGATGTAAAATACATTGTCTCATGTAGAGATAAGGTCAAGCTCTCTGCACGTTAAAGAACCCTTGCTGCAACTATTTGAGGGTCCGTAGGTGACCTGTTGCAAGGCTAAATTCTGTCCCCATCCAATATATTCTCATTTTCAAGCGGCACTTATTCCAATTTTCACGCCCTTCACCGGTCGATCCCTATTATAGGACCTACCTTTTGTTTTTATTGTTAATTTGTTCTCGTCCTGAACATTCATGAAATAATTTTCATTTCAGGCGAAGGACGTCTGTGCCTTTTTATCCGCGCTATGCGCTTTAAACTTTGATACACCTGAACAAAATTGACAGGACATTTGCGCTTTCTATCCATGATAGTTTGCCTGTAATCTTAACAACATTTACCAAAGTTATGGAAAGATGTTCACATATTCTTTGAAAGTTCTTCCGAACAAACGACAAAATCGGAAAAAAATTATTCGGGTAAACCAGACGTATAATTAAATATATAGTATATGTTTCTGGTAAACGATTGAGAAAACGAAATTTTTATGGATGGAACATTTAAATATTTCCTTAAATTCTTCAATTATCCTTCTAATTCGTAGATTTAAAATTGGAAACTATATTCCTCTTGTGTCCAATCTGTTGCATGAAAAGTCCGAGGAACTGTACCTTCATAGTTTATCCAACCTTGTTTCAATTTGTGAAGACCGAAATTTCATTTTTAAACCAACTGCTATACATGTTGACTTTTTGAAAGAGTCATGGTTGTTATAAGGAATTTACTTCCATCCACCCTCTTGAAGTGTTGTCGTTTTCATCTGACACAAGCATGATGGGGAAAGGTTCATGCTTTCAGTTGTATATAAATAAATGAACGTTATGATTTTTTAATCTTTGTTACTATGATAACTCATATGTTATGTTGATAAAGCGCAAATGTCCTTTTTTAAAAAGCACAAATGTTCTAAATATTTAAAAAAAAAAAGCGCAAGTGTAGTGTCCATTGAAAAGCGCAAATGTCTATCAAAAAGCCCAAACGTCCCGCGCCGTTCCATTCCACGTAAACCAAACAACAACAACAAATCAATTGTAGCCTTTTCAATCAAAAGCGAATCCTCTTACAACTAGTATGTAGAGAAGTCTGACTATAAACAAATAACACTAAAAATCAGTTAGAATACCTACGACATTCACTTTGCAATATTTTTTTTTTAGTTTACAGTTTCTTGCTGTTTTTGTTGTTGGTAAAAGTAAATTGTATCATATAAATCAAAAACATGAATATCAGGTTTCAAAATTATTAATTTTTATTTGAAATAAACAATGAACAAATATTAAATAATTCTGAGAAATACATCTTAACATCTTAAAGTAACTACTAAAGAATTAAGATTACCCTTTAACATTTTGTTTGAAATAAAAACTCATTTTCTGAATAGTTTACCAATTAACCATCAGCCTATCATAACCGAGTTAAACTCTTTTCTAAAATATTGAAACTTGCAATTGAAGACATGTGGTTAAAATAAATTTCAGATTTTGAAAAAAATGGCTGGAAAACAAATTATTAGAAATGTCATAAGACGAAACAAATGTCAACCATGCGCAGAGCAGAAGAAAAAAATTATGGCAACAGCATGGTGTACAGAATGCCAGGTGGGGTTGTGTAGTAATTGTCACAAACACCACGATTCACTGAAACTCACGAGGTATCACCACGTCATCAGCATGAGATTATTTCAAGCCAAGATAACTGCTGGACAGGTAACACAAAAGATGGAGAAGATGCAAATAAAGGAACATCAGCAGAAAGAGGTACTTATTTTTTATTTTGATATCAAAATGGCAAGTTAAGATATTCAGGCTTTTAATGATTGTCTGCTATATATTTCGATACTACAAATGGTATTTTAAAGTAAAATCATGTACCAATTTTCCAGAGCGTTGCCAATTCCTCTAGATAATAATATTCGTGGCTTCTTTCTTTACTTTGTATAAATATACGGGCTTTTACGTATTTTCTTAGGTATTTATCATAGTATTAGATTATGTTCAAAATAAATAATTTCACAGTGACCACTTGCATGATATAGCTGTCCGATCATGACATAGGAATACAGAGATAGGAATGCAAGAGTTTATTATTATTACTATAGCTGTATTTGATAAAACCTTTCGGAATTTGTTGGTCCTTTATGCTCTTCACCTTGGTACATTATTTGGCCTTTTAACTCTTTTAATCCGAGCGATACTGACGAGTCTTTTGTAGACGAAATGCGCGTCTGGCATTCAAAATTATAAGTCTGGTATCTTTGATTTTAATTTTTTTTTATCATGCACTTATATAATGATATTAAGACAACGTTTAATTAAAAAAAAACCCAACAAACAAAACACAAAACACAATCAACATACAAACAAACAATCAAAAGACCCTTATAATATCTTAGAATATTTTGAAATCTGAAATTGCATATTATTTCAACAAATCAATGTTTTGTTTACAATAGAAGACGAAAAAGAATGACACGAAACCAGATGATTCAACCACAGAAGAAACACATACTGAGTCAAATCCGATAGTTTTTAATTCTGATGACATCGAAGTGAAAGGCAAGATGGATTCGATAAAATTTAAATATTTTCGTACAATTGATCTTCTTAAGGGTGACAAAACATCTGTTATCAAAGATATAAAAGTTCTCAGCAATAAACACGTTGTCATGATTGATGGCAACAATAATCGAATACTGAGTTCTGAAATCGATGGTATAAAACAAAACGAATTTCGACTTCCGGGCAAACCATATTGTCTGGCAATTGCTACCGATGACACAGCAGCAATCTCTCTGTATGATAATGGAAAAGTTATAATGGTTGATATTTTCAAGCGAGAGATATTCCGAGAAATTGTTATCACATGCTTTGGTTTAGTGTTTACTTCGGAACACCTTATTCTTAATTGCGGGAAAACTGGAATTAAGGCTATGGATATGAATGGCGACGTGCATGCAATTATACCGGAAGTTCGTGGTGACGGTTATCTTTTCATTGGACACGACGGTCATGTATATTGTAATTCATGCGGATCCAATCAGATTATAAGCTGTAACATACGCAGACGTTTAGTGAAGACTTTTACGACATTAAGTATCGAACACCCGCTAGGAACAACAGTCGATGATGAAGGATTTGTTTACGAAGTTGGCGTTCAGTCTCCTAGCTCCAGTATTATTAGCCATGAAGGTAGCAAAGCTTCAGAGAGTATCCATATGATCAGTCCGACCGGAAAACATCACCGATTGGTGCTCACAAAACAAGATGGTGTCAATAATCCGTATGCTGTTTTTTTCGATAATGAAAGAAAAAATTTACTCGTTGCCAATAGCTTTGGGGAATCTGTTGTTATCTTCAGAAAAGAAGGCCAGTTTTAAGAAAAAAGAAATTGTATACAAAGAAAAAAAATTGATAAAATATTTTATTTTATAACTTTCGTTTTGGTAATTTACTGCTTCAGGCAACCCCAAAGTCCTTATTTGAAAACTGGAACTCACTTATATGAGAGAGAGAGAGAGAGAGAGAGAGAGAGAGAGAGAGAGAGAGAGAGAGAAATGAGAAGATATTTTTCTTTATTTATTAGTATACATGCCATCACATTGATTGTAAATATTATTTGTTTGTTCAAGTGCCCTATTTTGTTACGTGTAATATGAAGATGTGTAGTATGATTGCCAATGAAACAAATCTCCACCACAGACCAAATGACATAGAAGTTAGAACTTTGTAACCATACAGCCTTCAGCAATGAGCAAAACCCATACCATAGTACAATATAAGAACAAACTATAAAAAAAATCAGTTGAACATGGCTTAACTCATCAGATGGATACAAAACACAAAAAATAACAATAACACAAAAATACACAATGTACAGATCTGAATATAGTCGCAGTTACTGAAAGCTAGTCTAACCTGCAGTCAATTCATATTTGACCAAGTCCGAACTGTGTATTTGTTATTGAACGTAAATTTGAAATCAGATGCCATGTGATGCATATATAGGAGCTAAAATTGTTTAATTCGTATATTGACTAGGTTTAGACTTATTCTACATGACGTCTATTATGTATACTAGAAAACAACTCGCGCGAGCTCGGCTTGGAGACTACTTGAAATGTTTATTTTCCTAAACTGCACAACGCATTACCCAGATAAATAAAATCAGGGTTCTAATACCTTTTAGGGGAGGGAGTTGTTCCAAAACTGCACAATGCATTAACCTGAGGGTGCATTTCACAGCGACCGGCATTCCTGTTGGAGGAGGAGAGGGGATGTTCCCAAACTGCATTACCCAGAGAATGCATTTCACAACGAACACTTGCAAGAATTTGTCTGTTAGGGGAGGCGGAGGATATATCTTTTTTTACAGACTTTTCCCGTCTCATGATAAGACATTAAATGCCGGAAAATTAACTATGTGTATTCAGTTCCGATCAACTGTCATCATTAATTCATGTTCGTTTTAGTATGCATATATTGCACACTGAAATTCAATATTGAAATATCAATTATTAATACGTGTGTATTTGCTTTGTTAATCTGCAATATGCACGATTTGCTTTGCTAAACAATGTTCCTATACAATGTTTACAAAAATGTATTATCTGTATTTTATAACTTCTGCCAATCTAGGCACACCTCCAGAGAGGCACACCTCCAGAATACTAATTCAACAACCACATGTACACATATTACCTTAAATTAGGATAGAGCGAAGCAGTCCGCAGCTTTTTAGAAAGCTCAACCTTGTTTTCTTTTTGGTACCTTTTGCGCATGCTTAAAACCATTTCGGCCTGATAACAAAACGTAGACGGAACCAGCTACGGAACTTTATTTGGGGTCTAATTTATTAGGCTACGCTAATTAAAGCAATAACTATATGAAGTTATAAAGTACATTGCATACACTAACTATTTATCATTATATAATACTTCAGACGATCGTCGGCTCGGAGACAAACCGGCTATATAATTTTGGTTTACAAATTTAAAAGTATAGATAGATAGGTATGAAAAAAGTAAAATAACAAAAATACCGAACTCTGAGGAAAATTCTAAACGGAAAGTCCCTAAGCAAATGACAAAATCAAAAGCTCAAACACATCAAACGAATGGATAACAACTGTCATATTCCTGACTTGGCAAATTGTGGATTAGACCTGGTTTTATAGCTAGCTAAACCTCTCACTTGTATGACAGTCGCATAAAATTCCTTTATATTGACAACGATGTGTGAACAAAACAAACAGACATAAAAGGTAAAAATGTCAAAAATAGGAAACAGCAGTCAACATTGTGTTTTAATCTTAATCACTACAAATACAAGCAAATATGTCAACAAAGACAAACAAAAAGGCATATAGATAAAGCACATTAGTAAAAACGAAAGACAAAAATACAAAAAAATTACCATAACACAACAACACAATAACGGAATGTACAAGTACCGAGCCCCGTCAAATGGATACTGCCAAAAATAAGTTAAACAGTAAAAGTAATAATTTACAAAGACAAATAAAAGAATACTATAGCATGTTATTAAGATGACAAACAACGTCAGTACCTAGAACATATACTTCAAGACCATCGTGTATTATTTGTGAAGTTGATACGGAATATTTATCAATAAAGGCAACAGTAGTGTATCGCTGTTCAAAAGTCATCAATCGATTGAGAGAAAACAAATCCGGGTTACAAACTAAATCCGAGGGAAACACGTCAACTATAAGAGGAAAACAGAGGAACAACAGGAACACTGAAGTGCAACAAAAACAAACGCCAACATACATAGAAACGAACTATTTGATTAACAACTGCCATATTCCTGACTTGGTACAGGACATTTTAAAAAAAAATGGTGGGTTGAACCTGGTTTCATGGCTAGCCAAAACTCCCGCTTATATTGCAATGTTAAAAAATATCGCTAAAATGACAACAGTACGTGACAGAAATACAACACAAACACTCATCACAGAGAAACGCACAAACAAATAATATAATAGCCGACACAACATGCAATCCGCAGAACAACGAACATCTTCCATCAACGACAGACAGCACAGGATATCACAAAAAGTGACGCATTTACTAGTATGTAACGAATATACAATCTTGAACTTCATACAATTATTTTCACAATACCAGTCAAAACAATTATCATGACAATGACGGTATTGGAAGGCTATTTTTATAATTATTTGGACTACAAATGATAAGACATAACACATTATCCAACCGAAACTACAACAGAAACATTAAAAATAAATACATGAATGCTGGATGTATAAAATACCGAGACACGTCGGATATTAATGCAAATTCACACTCGGTAAAACAGTCATATTCGGGAATAGGTCACTTTCGGTACTTAGCAGACAGACGACATAGATGTTAAACCACAATCTAAGACGTGGTAAAATGTCATTAGTTAGTTTAGATATAAGAAGATGTGGTATGAGTGCCAATGAGACAACTCTCCATTCAAGTCAAAATTTATAAAAGTAAACCATTATAGGTCAAAGTACGGTCTTCAACACGGAGCCTTGGCTCACACCCAACAGCAAGCTATAAAGGGCCCCAAAAATTACTAGTGGACAACGATTCAAACGGGAAAACCAACAGTCTAATCTATGTAAAAAAAGAGAAACGAGAAACACTTATGAACCACATCAGCAAACGACAACTACTGAACATCAGATTCCTTAGACACAGATACATCGTGTAGATCAACCAATTCGTGATGGTTGAATATATCTCATCACAATATTTTTGAAGGCCATCTTTTACTGCAGAAAGAATAGTAGTCAGCACTTTAGAAAGATTTTTAGTCTAACATCTTGATGTTCCAGCTATGTATCGTTCTTTATACGGAGTTTTGGTATCCAGTACAATGACGGTAGATTTTCTTCGTTTTCTTTGATGTTAATACCTAATGAAAGAAGGACAGATTTCTGATTTTGTAAACTTTCATCCTTTGTAAATGATGTTAAAGAATATGTAGGATTACCAGTTGTGTTGTTTATTCCAAGCTTTTTTTTGAGACTTTGCAAATAATTGTTTTTACATACGAAGACAATATTATTGGAGGTTTTATCTGCTGGAACAACGACATATTTGTCATGCAAAGAGGATAAAGCATCCACAACCCCCGGGTTCTTGAATAGCTTAGAAACCCTTGTGCACATAGTACATCGTAGTTTCTGAATGCGCGTCTGAATGCATGATCGAATAGCGTTGATCCATTCAGATAAAGTGTCCAGTTCTGGTTCGTCTGGTCCGCGCTATACCTATTTTCTAGCATAGTCCTCAACTGCATCCATCAGTAACCTGAAGTTCTTTTTCCAGTTGATTGGGTGGGTAATTCTATATGTTGGTCCCTTGGCTAACAACTCCCTTAGTTGTTCATTGGTAACGATGCCAAGGTCACCAGTAATAACATGACCAGCTGGACTATAATTGTATTTTGACGATGCACATGAGCAATCCGGAGGTTTGAATTTCACATCTTTGAGGTTTATCAACAAGATCTTGGTAACTTCCGATGAACTTTTTTAGAAAAAGGACGAGACTTTTTTTGACATACCCCTGGTTCATCAACTTTCTGCTTAGACACTGGTGACGTTTTACAAAGTCTGAGTAGCAGCTGCAAGCTCTTGAATAACGAATGAGTTGGGAAATGTATATCCCATATGCAGGTGAAGTTGGTATATAGCTACTAAGGTGGGGGAAATTGATGATTTCAAAATAAAAATCGTCTCGTTTGTCATAGATTCTGGTACTGAGATGACCGCTTATGTCAAATTCGAGGTTTAAAAATGAGGCAGAGGAAGCTGTTTCTGTTGTTTCTTTAATTTCTAGTTCTGGAGGATATATTAACGGAACTCAATCAGAAAACTTTGGATTTTTAATAGAAAGAACATCATCAATATATCTGAATGCGAAATTAAATGATCTGGCTTCTTTGATCTTCTTGTTTTTGACAAGTGTCAGAAGGAACTTCGACTCATATGAAAATAAGAAGAGGTCGGCAAGTAGAGGCGCGTAGTTCGTTCCTTTAGGAATGCTGACAATTTGTTGAAAAAGTCTACCTCTAAATTAAACAAATATGTTGTTAATAAGACACTCCAGCATACCGATCACTTGCTCCTCTGTGTAGCATGTTTTACCTTTTTGTTCACTATAAACAAAATATGCCGCTTGGTATCCCAAAGTTATACATTTACAGCGTATGGTACCATTTTTATGTTGAAAAGCATTGTGGATTATTTCTTTCAGACGATTTTTCAATTTCACATGGGGAATGGTGGTATACAGGGTTGAAAAATCAAAAGTTTTGATAAAACTAATTTCAGAGAAAGATCGAGATTTAAAATTAACTAGAAGTTCTTTTAGAGTTTTTTAAAATCCACATTTGGTTAATACCACTACGCG